TAATAACTAGTTTATATGTCATTTTCTGCTCCACATCCATTAATTTAAAAGTCAACCAGTTCAACTCACTCCTCTATCAGGATGAAGTGCAGACTCTACTGTATGTGGAGCGCTTATAAACTTGCACACCACCCGTCTGATTGTGGCTAACACCGATGGCGTCTTAACACAAGCAATCACTGACTGCAAGCATTTAATCCTGACCTCCCACGGCGCAGTAAATCTCTTCGCCAAACCGCTGATTAGAAAAGCCAAACAAAAATCTCAGCTATATCTGAGAAAGGAACTTTCCAGAGGTCTCAGCAGAGGACGGAAAATGAGGCCAAGAGTGATTTCTTTTTCACCTTCCTTCTCCCCACTTTCACCTCCTAGTCTTGATTTACTGTCCTTCTTTCCTCCTCATTCTCCTGCCCGTTCTAATTTTATGTTTCCTGCCTAAAGTCCTCCAGGAAAAGATTTGTATTGGGAAAAATCAATACAAAGAGGATGACGCAAACTTCGAGAAAAACAGGGGATTGTGAGGTGATTCAGTGCAGGAAGACCAGACGGCCTAAAAGTGATTTTAACCAAGAGCTCTGAGTTGCTGAGTACATCCAGAGTGAGCTTTACTGGATCCTAGTAGTGGGACTCCCAGCTCTCTGTGGATCCCCGAACATTCAATTACAGGTGAGGATCCGAAGGTTGGTGGGACAGCCATTTGGGTCTGAGAGACAGAAAAGACACGCGAGGAAAAGAGGGCAGGAAATTAATATTCGGCTGACAGCACTGTCCTGAGCAAAAAGGCAGTAAAGCAAGAAGACATTTCTGGAGCATGGAGCACAACTTTTGATGTCCTTGCGGGAAACTTGGACTTCTGGAAATTTTTAAATAAACTGCCTGGAAGGGTTTACCGCACCATGGCAGACAACTGTCAGAGGAAAGTGACCAAGCCAAAACTGTAAAGTCTGGCCTAGATACAACAGTATGGTCCTGGGTATATGTGTATGTCAATACAGCACATTAAAGTGCATATATTTCTGCAGGGAGGAAATTTTTATGGGACTCCAAGAGAAATTACTGTGTGTATTTGAAAAAAAAGAAAAAAATAGATTTGAGTCGTAATAGTACATATCTCCACAATAAAGAGATCTGCCGAGAGTTTTATCATTTCAAACTGGGGACTTTAAGGCGTTATCACCAGTGGTTTGCTGCTTTAGTTCATATAAACTAGCACATAACACGTCAACAACACTTCCATACTCATAGCACTAAAGGCTAGAACGATTCCCATCTTCCAGGCAGCAAATCATTTTCTGTTTTATTGTTTCAGAGACTTTGAAATATCTTTAAGCTCAGCTAGTGACGACACTTCATTTACAACTGTTGTTACCCGCCAATGCGGCGGTTCATTTGGCAACATTGATGAAATTCTTTGTTCCACAAGTATGATGGTGCGCAGACTTGACATTTGGTAACAAACAGCCTGTGCGACAGAGTCACTGAGGCACTTGAGTGTAGCATCCAGATTCCGTCCTTGCAGCCTGCAGGCGCGTTGGGACCCCCCCCCCCCCGACCCCCCCCCCCCCCATGGACCCGGGCCCAGGCCGCTCCATCCGCGGCTGTGGCAGGGCTTTCAGGGCAGGCGTGCTGTTCGGGGATCACAGCATGCATAGAAAATCATCTTTAGCTGCGTGCTGGAGAGGAGCGGGTTCACCTATCAGCAACTGCGGAAGCTGGTCGTCCTGATGCCTGATCACTGCACCGGTGCCAAATGCTTTGTCCTGTGAATTTGCCTTAGTAGAAGAGTGATCCGTATGCAGACGTTAACGGGCGTTGATTCAGGTTGTTACTGGCAATTTTTGCTCCTTGAGTCCATGCGAAGAGATGTAATTCTTTTCCTTGAGCTGTAACATGTACTCTTTTCTTAGGATTTTCTCACCCATAAATGAAAATTTTTGATTTCAAACCACAGAGCTGTAGGATAATTTACTGTTTTAGAAAAACTGAACGCATTCACTTTCCTAGTGGTCAGGAGATTTAATAGATTAATGAAGTTACGGTTGCCCTGTGCTATCATGAGAAAAATGTGAACAGCAACTACTTTCACCTCTTGGCAAAACCGCACATGTGCATTCAGCCTGCTGTGTAACGGCCACAGGTCAATGAAAAACACACCGGGGTCCCTAACCTACAAACAGGTGGTTTGGTGGAGAAGCTATATGAGCATATAAAAACTCATAGATCAAGAGAGACAAGAGTTGGCGTTGCTTTCCACTGCTGGAGACAGCTCTCAGTGAGGTAACGTGGGACATATAACAGAGAGTTCTCTCCATATGGAGATTTGCTAACGGCAGTGTACTATCTGTGCAGTGTTAAAGGATTACAAGTAACACTAAATAGTCTCTCCATATTAGACATATACCGCTGCTTATTTATTCTGAATATTGTGAAAGACAAAGTGTGTGCTCTCTGATAAAAAAAATCTTCACAAAAATACATTCCCATTTTAATAGTGTCTAGAACAGTATAGTTACAACGAGCACGTGAATTCTAAGTTATAAATGATTGGGTGTTCTATGGAGGAACATGCATGCTAATTGGCACTATGGCACAGTTCACATTTGATAAAGTGACCATGAAATAGGCTAAAAAGAAAAACTGTTTGCTGTGCATTATTTTCTGATGGCGATTGATTCCTACTCCCACAGGCATGTGCATATCTCCTAATGGTTAGTTAGGAGGAACTCACGATAGGTTCTATATACAACCCCATATTCCTCCTGGTGGAAATAGAGAGCGAGATCATTCCAGTTGCAGCGCATTCTCACACTTTTCTCGACAGCAGGTATGCTGAAATGTGCTTTTTTGAGCCAAACCGACTTATTGATCATAACATTCTACGCTTTATTCCTCAACCATTTATATACTCCGATCAGAGTCTGTCTTGGATATAAATGATGTATGCAATCAAGACGATATTGGCTTAAACGTGGTTCCTAATGAGGAAAACCCCAATTTTGAAAATTTGGTTTATTTATGGCAGAATTACATCCAATGCGATGTAAAAGTTTCATATACGGTCCTTCATCAAGAGCTACCTACTAACTCGCGCTTAAAGATGACGACAGCTATTCCATGTCCAGCCATCCGTGTGATCTGAATACAAAAGCATAAAAGTAAAATAAGTGACTACTAGTCACACTGACACATTGACATGTGAATAATCATCTAAATCCAAACGCTCTATAGGCTAAACTAAACCGACGTCCGTAGTTGACCAGACTCTCAGCAACCAAGGATCAGTCTTATGTTCCAGCATTCTTCTATTTCTATTTTTAAATGACATGATCCAGGGAGCAACGATCAGCGGTTGTTGATCTGCTAGTGTTCTGTCACCAGACTCTATAAATCGACTTGTCGGTTTTGTGCTCATTGTTTGTTCGCGCATTCTATGCTGCATGCGTTGCCAATCTGCACTCTGGCGGCACTCTGTCTTCCTCCCCTGTGTTAACATCCAATAGTGTACCCGCGTCCCACCTCTCTCGAGCACCAACAAAGGGGCCAACAACATGTCACCACAATGTCCCGATCATGATGCGCGTAAGCGTATGTGACATACATATCGCGAAGGGCATCGTGCGATTAGGTCAGACGCTCCTAGCCACACTCAATGTTGGTATGTCCCAACATGCGGTCCCCTTTAAATGCGCTGACTCTGCGCGATACCATTCTAACTGTAGTGTGCGTGGCCGAGCAACACTCGACGTAGTGCACACAGCTGGACGGGAGGGAAGACACCCCGAGCGAGACAGGAGGAGGGCGTTACAGGAGATGTGAGGTAAGATAGAGTCAGGAATAATGAAAGAGAAGGGAGGAGAAAAAAGTAGAGCAGGGGAGAAGGGAAAAGTAGGCTGAGGAGGTGGGGAGGGAGCAGCCCAAAGCAGAAAAGAAATGCAGAGAAAAAATGGAGGCGAGTGCAAGTAAAAGGCATTTAAGGGGCAAAGAGTGGGAGGTAAAGGCAAGGCCCAAGCATCTGACTGGAGTGTTTGAGGTAGCGAAGTGGTCTGAAAATGCTTGAGGTTTGGTAAACAGGATGCACCTCTGGCACAAGCCTTAAACACAACCGAGGGAAGGAAGAACAGCGGCACTTACCATCTGACCAGTCCGCTGGTCGTCCTCGGCCTGAAAGTGATACGTTCTGTCGTCTAAAACCAGAAAAGTGAGAGATGATAGATGAAAAGAGCGAGAAGAGAGAGATGAGGAATCGTGTCAGAAACGAGCGGAAGGATAGGTGCACATTAATCAGAAGCAGTGGGAGAGATGATATAAGGATAGACTAATGTGATAAAGATGTTATCCCCACTTGACAATTTGCTAGTACTCGATGGTAGACCGTAGACTCCCTGATATAATGAATAAAAACTATATGAAACTATCCTAATGTGTAGCTATACTTGAGTTTATGATATCCCTGCTCTTATTAAGCGTCACTCACTCTACTAATAACCAGAGACTAGAGAAAATATGATTTTGTACAGCAACCAACGTGTAATCTCCAAGCTAATGTATGTGTTATGTTTGCTTCCTGCCGGTGGTCTAGAGTATTCAAACCTCAAAATTATAAACCGATCTCCCTCTCAGTGATATGATATCTCGTCCGTTTAATCCTTATAAAAACTTCCGTAAATGTTGAATATTTCCAAGTGACTTACGTTAACATTTTAGTATAGTTTTGCGTTGTCGGTGCTCTTTTTCATGCTCTACTTTAATTAAGCTTCAACTTGAAAGCTGCCAGATTTTTACTTTGATATGGTCCGAGATAATGAGATGAAAGGGAACCGTATATGTTTTGAGATGGAGCCGGGAGTTGCCTCTCCCTCTGACTGAACCTGGACCTGACACCGTCTGACTGGGATCTGTATTCAATATGTTCTCCAGTACTCTTCTCAAAGTCAACGAGATCAAAATCAAGAAGGGTTGTGTGAACCTGCTGCAGAATCCATCAAGTACTTCCATGCACAGTGCAAGTAAGAATAATCCAAATTTCATAACTGCGCGGGTCAGATAACCCAAAAAAATAAAGTTGTTTATTTTTAGTGCTTATTAAAATTGAAATTTGGAGGATTTAGAAACATGACGTGCTGTGGCTTGTTCAGTTTCTTCCAGGATGGTCTGAAAGCTGTGGACAACCTGAAGCCTTCCATTAGAGAAACTGGCCACAATCTGCACACAGTGCAGAACCCCACAGCTCTATTTTCTATTACCTTACTCTCACACTTTTTCCCCTCTCTTGATTCACAACATTCTGTTTTTCTCACCACCTTGTGTTTTACAACAGATAAAGCAGGTGCAGGACGAGGAGAGAGGAAACAGCTGACTCAGTTACGAGACGTCCTCAAGTCGGCGCTACAGGTGGAGCAGAAAGAGGTAACGCACACAACACACCCACACACACACGCACACACGCACACACACACACACAACACACACAAAGTGCTGAAGGTCCTTTCAGTGTCAGAAGAACATTGCCAGTCAAGTATCATGGGTTAATCTTCTTAAATCCCATATATCTGCTCTAAAATCAGTATATGACATGAACAGTCCTCAGTCTCCACTATTAACCTTCAACTTCTTCCTTCTTCCTTCTTCCTTAAGTGATCTTGACTGGAGTACACACTCAAAAACTCACCACACAGTTGCAAATGTAACACTGTTGTAGGACCTCACTCAGGGTTGGGGGTCCACACCATTTCGAGAGGCAGATTTAAATTCTTGTTAAAAAAACAACTTTAACTGACTTTATTTCCTATTGTTTCATTACACGCATTGCTGTTTTAACATTTGAATGCATTTCAAAAGGTTTTTTTTTTTTAAAACTGACCCCAGCCCTGAGCTTAGTGAACTATAAAATATGCTGCAAACTACAGCAGCAGCTCCTTGGTTCTCCACCTGTAATTTGTTTTTTTTCTCTCCTCCGCTGCCTCCGTCTTTTGTGAAACAAGTCTAGGAGAGTAAGTGGATTTCTTGAAACAAATCCTTTTTCTGCAGTTGAGTTTTTCATCCTGTCGCTCATGTCGTGTGCTCATTTCAGTTATGGTGCTAGATCAGTGTTTTTTTTTTTTTTGTTTTGTTTTGTTTTTTTTTTACATTAGCAGATCATTTCTGTGTTTGTTCAAACATGAAATTGCTGTTGTTTCGGTGCTTTGGTTTACTTTAGCTGTGCTGTTGAGTTTAATGACTTTTATGAGAGAAAAGCTTAGCTGGAGCTACAGTCGGCTGCTCCTCCAAGATTATCATATTGGCTGGTGTTCGTCTGCTGATAACGGCGCACACCAATAAAATCATTTAAAGCCCCGACAATGCCGGCCTCTAGAAGTCGCCTCTCTTGCTTCCCGTTTGTGTTTCCAGACAGAAATTGACATCACTATATACAAAACTCCTGGCCTTTGTTCAGTCATTTGCTGACGTAGCTGTTGCTGTTACATTGCAGTCAAACCTTGAATATCCAAAAAAGAAATCCATTTAGGTTAAATTTAGTTAAGATTATATCTCATATCTAATCACTGCTTTTGAACCCGCCTGCTGTACAGGACCCTTATATTCAGAGGTGTTTTTATTTCCTCCCCTCCCTCGTGTGTTAAAATCACACCCAGGACGTCATTCCTATTGTTGTTCACACACACACACACACACACACACACACACACACACACACACACACACACACACACACACACACACACACACGAGCAAATAGAGAAGAAAAATCAGAGCTGTTACACAAATAATGAAACGAAACAAAAAGCAGTTGCTGCACGTGGCTCTGATTCTCCTGCTCCTCAGAGAATTTCCAGGCAAGTATGAACAACAATAGGAAGACGGCTGGTGTGATTTTAAACACGAGGGAGGGGAGGAAATAAAAACACCTCTGAAATAAGGGTCTGTAACAGCAGGCGGTCAAAAGCAGTGATTAGATATGAGATATAATCTTAACTAAATTTAACCTAAATGGATCTTTCTTTTTGATATTCAGGTTTGACTGCAATGTAACAGCAACAGCTACGTCAGCAAATGACTGAACAAAGGCCAGGAGTTTTGTATAAGTGATGTCATTTCCTGTCTGGAAACACAACGGGAAGCAGAGAGGACGACTTCTAGAGGGCCGGCATTGTCGGGGCTTTAATGATTTTATTGGTGTGCGCCGTTATCAGCAGACGCACACACAGCCAATATGATAATCTTGGAGGAGCAGGACTGTAGCTCCAGCTCAAGCTTTTCTCTCTGAAAAGTCATTTAAACTCAACAGCACAGCTAAAGTAAACCAAAGCACCGAAACACAGCAATTTCATGTTTGAACAAACACAGAAATGATCTGCTAATGTAAAAAAAACAAAACAAAACAAAACAAAAAAAAAAAAAACACTGATCTAGCACCATAACTGAAATGACACCGACATGAGCACAGGATGAAAACAACTGCAGAAAAAGGATTGTTTCAAGAAATCCACTTACTCTCCTAGACTTGTTTCACAAAAGACGGAGGCAGCGGAGGAGAGAAAAAAAACAATCTACAGGTGAGACCAGGAGCTGCTGCTGTAGTTTGCAGCATATTTTATAGTTCACTAAGCTCAGGGCTGGGGTCAGTTTTAAAAAAAAAAAAACCTTTTAATGCATTCAAATGTTAAAACAGCAATGCGTGTATGAAACAAATAGGAAATAAAGTCAGTTAAAGTTGTTTTTTTAACAAGAAATTTAAATCTGCCTCTCGAAATGGTGTGGACCCCCAACCCTGAGTGAGTCCTACATCAGTAACAACAGTGTTACATTTGCAACTGTGTGTGAGTTTTTGAGTGTGTACTCCCAGTCAAGATCACTTAAGGAAGAAGGAAGAAGTTGAAGGTTAATAGTGAGACTGAGGACTGTTCATGTCATAACTGATTTTAGAGCAGATATATGGGATTTAAGAAGATTAACCCATGATACTTGACTGGCATGTTCTTCTGACACTGACACTTCCTTCAGCACTGTGTGTGTGTGTGTGTGTGTGTGCGTGTGTGCGTGTGTGTGTGTGCGTTACCTCTTTCTGCTCCACCTGTAGCGCCGACTTGAGGACGTCTCGTAACTGAGTCAGCTGTTTCCTCTCCTCGTCCTGCACCTGCTTTATCTGTTGTAAAACAAAAGGTGGTGAGAAAAACAGAATGTGTGAATCAGAGAGGGGAAAAAGTGTGAGAGTAAGGTAAAGAAAATAGAGCTGCTGGGGTTCTCACTGTGTGCAGATCTGTGGCCAGTTTCTCTATGGAAGGCTTCAGGTTGTCCACAGCTTTCAGACCATCCTGGAAGAAACTGAACAAGCAGCACGTCATGTTTCTAAATCTCCCAAATTTCAATTTTATAAGCACTAAAATAAACAACTTTATTTTTTGGGTTTATTCTGAACCGCAGCAGTTATCAAATTTGGATTTCTTACTTGCACTGTGCATGGAAGTACTTGATGAGATTCTGCAGCAGGTCCACACCCTTCTTGATTTTGATCTCGTTGACTTTGAGAAGATACTGGAAACATATTGAATACAGATCCAGTCAGACGGTGTCAGGCCAGGTTCAGTCAGAGGGAGAGGCAACTCCGGCTCCATCTCAAACATATACGTCCCTTTCATCTCATATCTCGACACTTCAAAGTAAAAATCTGCAGCTTTCAAGTGAAGCTTAATTAAAGTAGAGCATGAAAAAGGCACCGACAACGCAAACATACTAAAATGTAACGTAAGTCACTTGGAAATATTCAACATTTACGGAAGTTTTTATAGAACCTCATATACAAAAATGTTTTTTTTCTAAACCAAACACCATCAACAGTCTGCAATCATATTCTAAGAGGAGGAGTTGCAGTTTTCATGGTGCATTTATTTCATTTTTCATTACTTATTTAGGTTAAAATAAGAAATTATAAACACTCATTAGTCTAACTAACCTCACACATCTGCAGCTGGAAGAATCTCCTCTCCTTCTCCATCTCTTCAGCGATTTCCGCCCCACTTATTTCCGTCCTGATCATCCCATGCTGCCTTGCGTGCTCCTTCTTCTCCTTCTCTATCTTGGTGCTGGCAGAAAGTGACATCACAGGAGTAAAAGAACACATCGCACATCCATGGCAGCACCACAAAAACACCAAAAGCGCAGTGTTGCTTAAAATCAGCCCTGTCGTTGCCTGGCAGATTTAAAAAAGAAAAAAAAAAAAGGGGAATTGTTGGGGGAGCCGGCATCACTGGTTTGTTGGTTGGTTAGTGTAAAAGCAATGTCAGTGTGTCTGTGTCACTTTTATTTTAGTGCTGTTGTCAGGTGAGGAAACGTCGGCATTTAAACCATTAGTGAGTTGTGATGAGGACGAGAAACTTCACTTGGTTTTTCTGCCATACCAACACCTATGCATAACAACAGCAACTCTGACGGGAATAAAGGTATAAAAGGAGAATGTTATGTCATACAGGTGTCCCAATACACATCCTCTTTCATAGGGAGGCACGGTGTCCCCCACGGGGGTTTAACACTGAGGTTTCCCAACCACATAACAGAACTGAAGAAACCATTCAGATGCACAGCAAACAGTTTTCTTTTACCTATTTCATGGTCACTTTATAGTCCCTTGCATTGCCAAGTGAACACATTTAATTTGCTCTGTAATATCTGTGTTATTTGAATTTCTTTTATCAGAAGAAACTTTTTTTCTATCATTAGCAGGGAATTTTAGGGAATTAGGGAATTTTCACATGCTGCACTGCCTGACAGTCAGTACCCAGGGCTGATTTTTCACAAACACCGTTAACTCTGCATACGGTATCTCCCACAGGCAATCACGAAAACACGTCACAAAAAGGAAGGGATGCACCAGTCCATGCAAAAGGGCATTCTTTTTTCTTTCTTTCTTTTTTTTTTTTTTATACGCTGTTTTTTTTTTGTTTTTTTTGACAGCATATCCCCTGCAAAAAGGATGCAGCAGTTTGTTCTCTACCGGAGAGACGGGAGGAGCGTGTCGGAGCCGGTGACTGCTGGCTGTTTGAGCGCTGTTCAGCCTGATTCATGTGCATCTAGACAGACTTCACTCCCCGATGTTCAGCTGTGTGATCTATGCGGCCTGTAGCTAGGCTCAGTACAACTTCAGACCAAAATGATTAAATACAAAAAGAGCCATTCCTAAACTTAAAACATTAAAAGATGGAAAATCAAAGTGGTGTGACTGCATGAACCAGCTTTTAATATATTCTGTTATGATATGAAATCACCAACTACTCTTAAAAGGAATACTTTCGGGAAATACACTTTTTCACTTTCTTGCCAAGAGTTAGATTTTTCCATTGGGTGCCTTACTATCTCACAGTGAGGAAAAAACGCTGCAGGAAGTTTCTGATCATTGGCCATTGATTATTGCTTTTGTAAGGATTAAACAAAACAGAAATCATGTGTGAATTCGTGAGCATTAGAGGTGGAAGGTCATTTTGGACAGAGCCAGTCTTTATGCAAAGCTCAGCTATCTGTCTCCTGGCTGTAGCTTCATATTTAAACAGACAAATGTGAGTGATAATGATCTAACTTTCCTACAGAAAGCAAATAAGCCTGTTTCCAAAACTGTCAAATTATTCCTTTAATATTCCTTCTTGCCATGTTATGCCCTTTATATTGTGACCATGATGTCAAACCACTTTAGGAAAGGAAGGAAGGAAAATAAATGAATTCCTCTCTTTTCTTCCTGTTGCATAATAAATAATCTAGTGTCCCTCATGCAAAGTAGCCTGTGTTTACTTGTTATATTTAACTGCACACCTTCTCCTTGTCTGGGTTTCAAACCAAAGTCTCCACATTGAGCTGCAGTTGCATAATAATAATGCATGTTAATATCCATCATTATGTTAGCAGTCTGCAAGAAATAAAACAAAATTTGGCATGTTCTCAGAGGTTGTGTATTGTGGCAGTGCTCTGTGAACAAATGCTACCTTTGACTTGAAGTTTGTTTGTTTAATGGCGCCAGCTGCAAATAGAAAACCTTTTGAGTCATGGTAGGAAAAGACGCAGTTGAAGTCGGTTCCCTCCATCTTTTTGCTATTCCAAAATTAAATAAATAAGTTTTAAAAAGCAGTGTGTTTTTGCCAAGACAGTCGTCATGGTTTGAAAACAAACGCACAACCTGAAGGACAACGAAAATAAGTTCCGACAGCTTTTAGTTTTGGTCGTAAACTTGCCATTTAGCCAGTGTGAACGTGCCAAATTTGATTTCATTGTGTGGACACTGCCGGCCTTTGTCAGCACATGAATCTTCAGCCCTGACAGCGTTACAGCATCATCAGGGCTGCAGCTAATAGAGACACATGTTAGCCAGGCTGTTTGGCTGCCAGCCAAACTGACAGTTGTTCGACTGATGATGAGGCTGAGAATCCACTCACTTTCAGTCCTGCCACTTCAGGAAGTGATTCACCAAAAAAAAGATACTGGACTTTTGATTTTTCTATATTCATTCTGCATTTAAAGTTTGGAAAAAATGATCTAGTTTTACTTATTAAACATTAAGCACTCCCTTCCTTAACAGCATTCAAAGTGAGATGATCTCCAATCTGGAGACTGAAAACAGAAGTCAAACTCGGGTGTCGGATGCAGATAGCTCACAAAACTAAATTAGGGAAATGAAAAATCAATACTGAATAATTTTCATCTCTCTCTGTGTCTGCGATATGAAAACAGAATGTTGTTGTGACGGCAGACAGCAGAGAGATCGAAGACGATCGGAGGATCACTTATAAAAGAAAAGCGGCAAGATAAGTTTAGGTGGTTTTCCCAATCAGGCAGAAAACTGGACTCTATTGACGGCCTCAGTTTGCCGTCAATAGAGTCAAATCAAGTTGGGACGGAGAGAAACAGTCATATCCGGCTGGACTCGATGTCAGTACAAAGTCCGCACTGTCTGATCAAAACGGTTTGGAGAGGAGATGTATTACCCTTTCAGTAAAGAATGTCCTTTGCAGCTTGTAAGATATATGAAAGTGCTATAAAAAAAAGTCATGTGTACTTTGCATGCACAATCACAAATGGAGTGTCAGTGTGGAGGTGGAGAGGCAACAGTGAGGGATGGTTATTCACATTATCAGGAATGTGTTGACAGATTCTCACAGGGGGAGGTTAGAGGGGAGAGCGGTTAGTCAAGACAAGTCAGACACAGACATGACACAAACTGCACATTTCAATTTAACATGTTGCCTCACAGAGTTTTACAAAATAAAACTAGTTTGAACTCCCGAACTTGTAAATTACAAGTAATGATGACTTTACATTATATCAGCATGTTTCACAATTTTAACCAATTAGTTAAAATCAAACAAATGTCATTTACATAAAAGAGCTGTTAATTAGAAACAATATGATTAGTTTCTTACACTTTTGTTTCGTAGTCCTTCCAGGCTTTGTCAAAGGGCTTTTTTAGATCCTGTGAGAAACAAAGAAGAAAGTTTAAATTGTAAACATTAATAAGGAACATAGTGCTGAAGTGATTAGTTAATTAATCTATTTAGTTGATCAACAGAACATTACTCACAGTCAATTTTTGATAGGGCAGAAAGCTATTGTTCAAGAATGAACTTTCTATCTCAAATTTTAAGACAAAGTTTTCAACAACTCCTTAAAGTGCTCAAAAAACTGATCTACAATCTCATGGCAACTGGTCAAACTCCAGGTGATACAATCAAAAGCTCCAGAGAACAGCTACTAAATGGACCTCGGCGTGGATCGTTTTGCCAATGGGCATTCCCAAGGTCAAAAATGAACTTCCAGTCTGAACAACATTTGTAATCGATGAATTGTTTGAGTCATCAATGTCACAAATGTGACAATTTGCTGCTTTTCTGTGTTTTATGTCCCAGTGCAGAGGATGCCTTTGGGGTTTGAAGGTGCCACTGTGGCTTCTGCAAACCTGTGACAGGAATTTGTCACCATTTTATTCACATTTTATTGACCAAACAGGTATTCACTTTCTTGCCAAGAGTGAGATGAGGAAATTAACACCGCTGTCATGTCTATATATGGTAAATATAATATAAAAATTACACTTAGTTTAGGTTATGTGCTGAACTATTTCTTGGCTGGCCTTAGGTGCTGGTAATGAAAAAAGTTACTGTGTGTGTGTGTGTGTGTGTGTGTGTGTGTGTGTGTGTGTGTGTGTGTGTGTGCGTGTGTGTGTGTGTGTGTGTGTGTGTGTGTGTGTTTCATCACAATATGAATCAGTAAGGTGAATCATCCTCCTCACAGTTGCAGAGCAGCCCACAGCTGTCTCAGCAGGGAACTGGGTGAGGTTACGTGGAGGCTTTTAGGGAAAGCAGGAGCATGGTGCGACTGTTTTTGGCATTTGTAACGCGATTCCTCTGGTCACGGGTGTGCTTTCAACAGCTGCTTGAGCAAAATGCTTGATTAAACAACATCCCTACCGCCGCGGTGCTGATTAAACAGCGATTAGGACAAACAAAAGCAAACATCACTGGCTGCAATTTGCTGTGTCACTCCCCAAAAAAAAAAAAACACAATTCAATAATATTAATTGTTGCCAACTACCAGAGCCAGGGTGCCAGGAAAAAATCTACTCAACAGCATGCAAGAAAAACAGATAATCAAGAAAATGATGTCGCATTTCACTCAACTACTCCCTTTGCAATTAAATCCACAAAACCTACAGAGAGCACCTGCTGAAACGTGGCAGTGAGATCAGATTCTGAATGCTTACATTTCAGCACTACAAGGTCAAGCATCGCTCCTGTCGGCCTTACTGCGCATTCTGTTCAATAAATGTGAATAGCACACATATTTCTGTCGAGCTGAACAGACAGCTTATAGCGACAGTGCCACCGTTAGAGGACTGTGATCCCGCTGTTAACCTCCACTTCAAGAGCGGAGGAGTGGCGGGCTCAACCTGTCACCCACAGGATCACGGTCTGGTTCACTGGGCCAAGTCAAGGAGCACTCAGCCATTCACTCAGGCAGCTCAAGGGCACAAAATCACCAGAGGAAAGAGAGCATAAAAGACCATAGAAATACAAAAACAAAAAAAAAGAAAAAAAAAAAAAAGTTAAAGTGAAAAAATAAGCCTGTGAAAAGAAAAGCCACAGCAGAGGAGGAAGCCGCTAAAAGAACGAACTGCAGGTCAAAAGAGAGCAAGAGAGAAAAGAGAGGGTGAGCGGAAGGAAATGTCAGAGCCAGAGAGAGGAGAAAAATTGTAACAATGGCTATAAATACCAGACACAGGCATCGCTGGGCAGGGAAGGGCAGAGCAGAATAGGCCAAAGCACAGGGCAAAGCACTCCCAGAGAGAGAAGAGCGCTCTTAGCGCCCCGTCTGACTGAATCTAAAGGACGGAGGAGGAATGTCATGCCCTTGACAACGGCCTCCTTTCGCAAACTTATCACCTCTTACTACCTACTACCGCACATGTCCAGGAATCGCTTTTCCTGTTCCACATTCCTCACACCTTTTCCCCACAGCTGTACCAAATGTGCAGCCTTGGTCAGCAGCAATGAAGGCAGAGTTTAGTTTGGATCAGAGGTACTCTAGTGGTATCTAGTCATGCAGATACTATGAGCATTTTTTTTTCCCCAGGTTTTGAACTATCCCTCCTCTCCCACCCTAATACAACAGGGCTTTTTTTTTCACTGAAAATATTTCAGCACGTCACAGTGTGAAAAGCACAAGTAGAAGTAATAACATTAGGTATGGATGAATTCCATTTAGCTGCTTCAGTTTCAAGGTCGTGGTATTGTGCAGGCTGGCTCAGTCACGGCTGCTGTGAAATGGGGCTACAGAGGTGAACAGACTTTTAATTGGATTATAGAGTCATGAAATTATTTATGTAACTTCACCAAGAGACACTGCAAGCAACGCAATGGATTCTATGGAATGGAATCTACACAGGCGATTGGGAAGGAGGCGATGGGCGGCCACTGTCACTGTAAGCACCATCATCATCCTTCTTTCACTTCTCCAGTTGCGCGCGGTAGAGCACCACTATTGGCCAACATCGCAGACCACACTGTAGAAGGTGTCAAACCAGGCGAGAGAAGGCAAAAGAAAATCCTAGCATAGTCATATGTTGCGATACTGTGAGGGATCCCAGATCATTTAGTTGTCCTCTACTGTGAAAGACTACACAGAATAAAAGGAGCGGCAGTTGCCGTATTTCTGCAAAGTCATGCTGCATACCGTTAGTTTTTTAAATGTTGTTTGTCAATGTCATAAACCAACTATTATCTAATTCCACTCACCTCCACTGTATTTGGGTTGGAGGCCGATAACGCAGCGACTTATGTCTATCTGCATGGCTAGACACCAGAAGTTAGTAAGTAAAAAATGGAACTGACCCTTTAATCTATTACCACCTCTGTGTGTAAATGCTTGGTTAAATAACTACTGATGCTGCTGATGTTTTCAGTTGATAGCAGAGTGCGTAGTATGTATAAAAACCTTCATCAGTGCTCTTATCTAAAATCTCAAACAGCTAGCATGCACAAATGGTTTTTGGGAGTTCACGCCCCACTGAACCACAATGAGGCGGGACACAGCTGGACTCACGTCGCTCAGTCCAAAGGCATTAGAGCACAGGGGTCCCCCTCCTCACACAAACACAGTAGATTCTACAGCAAACCATCCAGACACTGTGACTGAATAGCGAAAAAGCTGATAGGACTCATGGTGGGATAGAGACACAGACGGGTCAATAAGCAGAGGCTGAGAGGTGTCCGCTGCAGGCATGACATCATGCTGGCGTCCACTCTGAAAGTCCGCTGTTAGCAGAACGGTCCCGTGGACTCAGCACTTTCCATTTTCCACTGACTGCGAGTGTGTGCGAGTGTTTATCTTCAGCAATAATACTTCTGGGTCTTCCAGGGACCCCCCCCCAGCCACTTTTGCTGCCATTCCTACTGCAGTGACCGAGCACTTTATCTGCTTTCATGTGTCCTTCACTTATTAAATACTACACTATATATGCAAATTACAAGGTGAGAGCTGATGGCAACCTTAAAAAAAAAACAAAACAAACAAAAAAAAAAAACAAAAAAAACCACACTCACTTTGTTTTTACACATGAAATCCTAATCGTGCTCCGTGGTGAGATGGTCATGGAAGTAGATGAGGTGGAAAACGGTGGGTTTTTAGCTGAGTAACTGCAGTGACAGGTTGCTAGGTAGTAGCCCTCTAATCACAGAGCCATTAGTGGCTGCCTCCCCAGGGTTAGTTCATCGCACTCGTTGCCAAAGACAGCACTGGCAGAATATTAACAAGCTTGGAGGTAGCCACCAGAAAGCCATTAAGTCCCGAGTCAAATCAAACGAAAGCACTGGTGACTATTGTAGCTGCCGCAGTGATGCAGTCATTATGGAGCTTTTTGAGACACCAGATTGCCCTTTTTATCCACACTGAATGAAATTTAGGAATGACATTTTTAGGATTACATCATACATGCGCCTTCTTAAATTAGATATTCCTTTTTTTTTCTTGGCTGTTTTATCAAATCCCTGAAAGTATTGTCCTAAGTAACTCCTTTTATGGACAGCAATTAGACTTTATTTTCCATTTACTTACAAAATTACTTAATGCATGCGCATGGATCACCGGACACATGTGCATTAGGTTCCATTTGTGTAAGGAACTTCAACTCTTTTTACAGCCTCTTACAGTTGAGTGGCATTTGTTTGTTAAATTATTTCAAAGTTGTTCAAATTGGGTGGTGGACATCATCACACATGTACACATTTGAGCTTATAATTATTCGTGGATCACGAAACATGAATTTGTCACCAGCACTGAGGTCAATGTCTCTTTATAGACTTATTTAATCTTTTAAATATATCGGTCTTACTCTTTTATGACATCACACACATCAAACCATTACTTCATCACACTCTCCCTGCAGTCTAAACACTTTGTCATGCAGGTCTGGACTTCTTCCTGCTCCCCCCTCTCTTAGCAGGTACTTCCCCTGGGAGAGGACAGGAGTGAAGGAGCTGGATAATGACAGAGGAGGAGGAAGATGATGAAGGGCAAGGGAGGGACGAGGGAAAGGCCTTGGGCTGCGGAGGTGAGCAACAGGTTGGGAGGGAGGGTGTAGCTGCTAACTGAGGCAAGAAATAATCCATCACCTCATTCATCCTTACTTCACTTTTCCTGACACAGAGAGACTGATTTCTGAGTTTTACGGACATTACAACAGTGGTGACATTTATGTGTGTGCAAATGTGTGTGTGTGTGTGTGTGTCCTGTGGTACAAAATGACCAGCAGCTCATTAGCCCCATGTCACTGGGGTAATGAGAATCATCCGAGGGCTAATGAGCAATAAGTGGGTAAGTATTACAGATGTGACTGGCTGCCAAAGTCGGGCTGCAGAGTGAGGGGGGTGGGTGATGGATACAGACTGAAGGAGACAGGGGGGGAAGGAAAGTGGATAGAAGTGGAGTCAAGAGAGAGACAAGAAGACAAAGAAAGGAAATCATGGAAGAGAAAAGCCGGCAGAGACTGAAAAGAAGACATTGCACTTGAGAAACAAACAAAAGAGCAACGGAGGAGACAGGACAAAAGATGACAAACAGTTCAGAGGTCGAGACACAGCCAAGTGGCCAAGGGTCATGGGGACAAATGGCGTTTCTGTGGCAACCAGCCTCATTAGAGAGCTGGCTTAATCGCATCATACCTCGGTGAAAGCCGCAGCCAATCATGTGCCTCCAGAGTGAAAGGTCACAGACCGCCACGGACAGTAACGAGTCCTGATTGTATTACAGAGCTGACGAGTGTCTGTCTGGGTTCAGTCCAGTCGGTCGACACACATGGCCGACTGGCTGACTAACTAATGTGTCGCATTGGTATAGACGTCTGTGTCTCGGACCCCAGTATTTTTATTTGGTACGTACCAAAACGTGTCCATAGCACTATTACTTAAAGTTGGCATTATTTTATCTCTGGAAAGTCCCACTATGCCTGTTTGTGTTTAGGCAACATTTAACATTTGAGACTTTGACTTCTTTTGCTAAAAGAAAAAACATTTTTTTAGAAAAAAAAAAAACTCAACAGTATTAGTATCAGAATATGTCAAACAACATCCAGCCCTAACAGGGGGACATCTTTTAATCTGATTTTGAAAATAGGTTAAAGAAATGCAACCTGTTTTTGGGAAACTAGCTTGTTGGTCAGTACCTCTGTAGCTGGTGAAGACTCAATTTGGGCTCATAAATTTGGACTTTTTCTACCTGTTCAACCTGATGCTCCTCACAAAAATATGTTATGCTGAGTGATTGCAGAGTCCATGCAAACACTTACTTTTATACATTCCTTTGACTGATCACAGGTTCTGTGCTAACACTTCAGCACACATCAAGTTGAGCAATTGTAGACTTCATGGTAAAACTTAAGCACACATCATGTTGAGCGATCATAACCTCCAACCTCACAACAAGCATAACTTCCACCATGTTGAGCAAAGCATAAAGCATCATAACAGGTCAAGCTTCCAGGTTTTATTTTGTGGATTCATAAATTAACTCGGCTGAAGCCGTATGGATTCTGGCAACTATGTCATCAACTGTCTATCTGGTCTCTACTCGACTCAGTTTTCACTTTTTATGGAAACCTTGGAAAGAAGATCAAAGCAGCTTGTTATTAACTCGGTTAGCGGGAGCACAGTGCTTCAAGGATGGCAATGATTGTCAAGTAGTTGCTTCAAACCACCACCACTTCTTACCTCTTACTGCTAGTTTCCTATAGAGGATTAAGCCACAGCCCACATAACCATGTTTCAACTGATATTTACATTAGATTCTGTCTTTGGTGTGGGACTAGGTTTAACCACTGCAGCTTTTAGTGTCAATCTACCGTTTTATTGTGTTAATTTCTTTACTTCCCTCACAAAGTGAGAGTTTATAGATAAATTATCACAAAAAGTCTGACAATCATTTCAATTTACTTGCCAGTTACTTTAATTTTTCACTTCTGACATAACTCCTACTGCATGTATCATAGTGTGATATAAATATAAGTGCAAGACTGGAATAAATGATCTCCTAATGACACACGGATGAGTCAGAGCTTGCACCAGCTACATTAACATACTGGCCACTCTCTCTCTCTTTCTCGCTGTACTTTTTTGAGGTCACTGGTGATTCAGCATGAGGCTCGACTCCATTCAAGCATTCATAAAAACACTTCCCGTCCAGTTGCAGAGTAAAACGAGACCATGCTGTTTTGTTGTCTTACCCCTTTGACTCCCTTCAGGTCTCCTTTCAGCAGGCTGTCCAGAGGAAAGGTGATGATGTTGTTCATGTTTTGGAACTGGAGGAGAGTGAAGAGAGAGACGGATAAGAGCTGACAGGTTGCATCAGAACCTGCAGGAGACTGGAAGTCAGGGAGATGTAATCCTTTCAGTGTCCTGTGTGTCCCTTGTGTTTTTCGCAGTTAATGATGGTGATAAGAAGCTGAATTAAATAAATGAGCTACAGATAATGAAATTACATCAGGAAATACCCATTACCAGAGCAATTTGAGTCTAATGGGTTTATCAAACTTTGCCAAGTCTCTCTTACACCTTAAATGTTTGTACGCTCAGCACCATCTTTTAAATCACTCAGAAATTGAAATAAAACATAAAACAATTCATTATGAGTCCACTGTGCGAGTTACAGTTACGGGCTGCCTCTGTGTGTAAAGCTGCAGATGTTACAGCCTCGCTGAAGCTTCGAGAGATTACATCTTCACATCCAGGTCCGGTGGCAGCTCATACTTCTTTAATATAAGGCGTTGAGATAACACTAACACAAAGTCTCAAGCTTCTGGTCTCAGTGTGAGTCCATACAGTGTCCACAGGGAGAGACAGACCTCACATGACGGTTTCAAATTTTTCTAATAAAGCTTTGGCCTCGATACCTCGAAACCTGGCTTTAAACAGAGCGGGATCAGGCTGAATTAGATCCAGCAGATATTTGGTGTTTCAGCGTCTCTTTGGCTGTTTCGATGGAAAACTAGAGCTACATCCTGAGGGCTTTAAGTTCCAGCTGGACTCGGTTTGTGCTCAGTGTGTGTGTGTGTGTGTGTGTGTGTGTGTTAGAGAACACACACAGTGACTCAAGGGGATTCAGACAATTAGGGACAGGATGGAAATCTTTCTTTGTCCCAGAGGACTTTTCCCCTCCCAACTCCATCCACTCATCGACCCATACATGCACGCACGCGCACACACACAAACTTATACAATATACATACAGTGCAGACTCACCAGGTTTTTGAAAAGCGCAGTGAGCTCCTTGGTGAAGACGGAGAACTTGAGGAAGGCTGAACCCAGGTCAGGATCATCTCTGTACACGCAGTTTTCTCCAAACTTCTCCAGGGCCTGAGTGTACTGTTCCTCATTCTCCACGTGGGCTGGAAGACACACACACACACACACACACATACACACACACACACAGGTTAGCTGTGACAGGAAGCAAATGGGAATCAAACCAAGGTCTTTCACTCTCTGATCATTACAAGTCAGAAATCAATTGCTGTGTATGAATAATAAATGGTAGCCTTTCCAGGGAACAAGGATCCACTTTTCCGGCTGATCAATCCTTCCATTACAGTTCAGGGTTTTCCCCAGGAAATTAGTTAATGGAGGTGATAAGCACTGTGCACCACTGATTGGACAGTTTGTCTCTACTTTCCCAACTTAAACCTCAGAGGATTTTCTTTCTTTCTTTTTTTTTTTTTTTTAATTCCACACATTCTTCTTCCTTGTCAAAACCTGGCACCTACATTACCCAAAATGCAACTTGACCTTAGATAGATCAGTCAAAGAGTCAAGTGTGTCATGACAGTTGCAGCTAATGTAGCCTCAGGCCTTTAGTCTCAAGCAGAGATGAGGAGCGGGCTACAGAAGCTCTGGTAAGCTCACCGCTTTCTAACTCCTCACACCTACAAACTTGTAGTCTTCAGACGTAGCAGACGCTGACTCAAGCGACAACACTTAAGGCAATTTGTCAGATTTCACACAGCTCCCTCTAAACCCTGCAGGTTTCTCAGTCCAGTGAAGGAACATTTACTTTTATCCAGAGTTTTGATGGACTGTGAAACCTCTACCTCTTTTAGCTGTGATTTGAGACACTCATTTTTTTTTTTTTTTTTTTACCCTTCTCCGTGCTTGTCTGTATTTGATTTTAAATTCAGCATGTCGTCTAAAGCGACAAGAAACACCGGTGGCAAAAGAATATTGAGATCTTTGTTTTAATAATAACTGTGCTGAGAGAGATCATAACGACACCCACGGGGAGACAGAGAGAAATGAGAGGTAGCAAAGGAAACAAGAGAAAAATGAACTGAGTTGGCCCCAAGAAAAAACATATCCCCAGTCCAGCCAGCAGTTGGGGGGAAAACCCATAAACTAACCGTGACCGAAGTCGCCCACCGTGTCTTAAGTCGACCTAATCTACCACGAGGTTAGACCTAGATGATTCCACTTAATACACTTCACGCCAGACTAGGCAGCTGATGACAGCTAATGCCATTGGGACGGTGGTGGAGCGAGGGATGGAGCACAGGGGACCGTTGCTATGACAACTTTCACTGAGAGACGTAACTGGGGGGTGGGGTGGGGTCGTCAAATGGTAGGGGGCATGAAGGAGAGTCCAAAACAAGGAAAAGAGAGGAGGAGTGTGTAAAAATGTGAGGACGTACACTAAAAGACACCTGCTGCCACAACATGAGTCAGCTTTTTTTATCTGACACACACACACACACACACACACACACACACATTCAGCAGATCCACGACGTACACCCACGGAGAGAGAGATAAAAAGCAGCCAGACTAGTTCACAGATGTGGCAGGTTTATACATAAAGCTGGATAAGCTCATGTCTCAGCTGCAGAGATATCCATCATGTTATTAAAAGGAGAAAGCTGAAAGCCTCTGAGTCACTACCTGCAGACCTCCTCACATCAGACAAATCTAATTTAAGCCTTGAAATATCAACTGATGCAATAGGTGAGCTGGGTGATAAGGCTCCGACCAAACACGGTGCACAAGAGGCAAAATGAGAGGATTGAACAGCCTCTACCTGAGAGAGATATAAAATTTTTCTCACCACAACTGTTTTTTTTTTTTTTAAACCAAACCCTTTTTGATTATTATATATACTGTGTATTATATTATTTAACATATTGAAAATTGTTCGAAAAAAAAGAAAAAAAAAGCCCATTATCAAGTTCCCAGAGCCCAAGGTGACGCCACTTGTTCTGTCTGACCAACAGTCCAAAATCAAAAAATATGATATCCCCAATTACATTAAACAGAGAAACACACCAAACGGTCACATCTGAGAAGCTTGAACCAGCTAATATTTTACATTTTTCTAAATCACTGTTATGATAATAGTTGATGAATCATTTTTCATCAACAAACTGATCAATTCATTTTTTTAAGCATCAGTCTCTTGCTCATTTAGAGAAACAGCAAACACAAAACACACCCCATCATCACTGTGTACTGCATTTAAAATAGAGTTGAAATAATTAGTCGATAAATTACTTAATTCAAGCTTCTAAAATGTAAATTGAATCTCTTTTGAATCTTCTCTTCTCGCTCTTCTCAACTTGCACTCTGGGAAATGTGATGGCCATATTTCTCTATTTTACTGACCTGATAATTAACCCCATTAATGTGGAAAAATAATGAAATAATCCTTTGTTTCAGCTCCGTTAAAACTGTTTCAAAGCAGTGAGATGTGTCGTAAAAGACATAACAATCTTCAATCATTGTCATGTGTCAGACACTGACCCTCACCGCACCACCGCAGTCTACCGTTCACACATCAGCTCCAGCTGTTTGGTTGTGGCTCTGCCAGGCTCAGAGCCAACAGGGCGGTGGCCTGCTGTTGTTTTTGAAGTGGCACATGAGAGCGCTGAGTGCTGCTATTCAGCTCTGACAAACAGCACAAACCCCCCTGGGCTGCTTGCTGAGTAGATGCGTATTTGTTGTAACATGACCTAAACACATCACACATGCAGCCTTCACTACAGAGCAGCTTTGAACCTCAAAGGGCTGCATGACACACTGAGCCACTTTGCGAGGAACATGGCGGGGAAAGGAGCCAATAGTGAAACACAACTCAGCCTTGTCCTGCACATATTTCCTAAATATTTTCAGTACATTAAAAGGTGGTGTTGAGGGGCTTAAAGAAACATAGGCTTTGCATGATTCTCCCCTTTTCAGTGCCACATGCCTTTTATTAACACTGAACCTTCCTCTGTTGTATCATTTTGATTCTGAAGTGACCACACTCAGTGGTTCTCAAACGTTTTCACATCACGGACCCCTAAACTGACACAAATTAGACCACAGACCCCCATCTGATAAGACTTCTGCTTTTAGATGTTTTATCACAGAAAGTGTTTAAATCCATGACCAAAATAGTCATACAATCTGTCATTGTATTACTTAGGGATGGAATTATAATGAAAATAAATTATTCCCCTTTTTTCTTGGGACCCCCAGGAACCACCTCAAGGACCCCTGGGGGTCCCTGGACTTAGCTTTGAGAGCGACTGACCTAGATCATTGGTTTCCGACCTATCTAGCTTGTGACCCCTTAAAGTGAAGCAATTTCTACTTGCAATCCCTTGTCATAAGTACAATTTAAAAAAGCTCTTATTAGATGAAAGTCCCAAAAAAATAAGCATAACTGTGCAGCAGAGTGTAGCATGTGTTTTAATTGAACCAAGTTGCTTTAAATGCACCATCATCTACATTTATTTGGTGTAACCAATTGGTAATACGTTTTAGTATATATTGTATATTTTTCCACATGTAAAAATAAAATACAGTGCTTCAGAAAACATCTGGAAAAGGCAGCATAGCAGTAAGCAGTGGCCTTTTTCTGTGTTTGTGAGTCTGTAACAGAAAACAGAAGGACAGAGAGAGAGAGAGAGAGAGAGAGAGAGAGAGAGAGAGAGAGAGAGAGAGAGAGAGAGAGAGAGAGAAAAAGGGATTCCTTTTGCTTGACCTCCGGATGTGATGACCTTGTGTTTACTGGAGAAAAGAGGCATAATGCTGTTGAACACACACACACACACACACTGCTAATACCCAGTTGTGTGCAACATTCTTTACTGTATCTTCCCTCTCAAACACACATGTAGAAAAAAAAAAAAACATGATGTACAGCTTCCAGGCGTCTGCTGAGAATTATCTAACATCCCAAAGGCCTGTTTTGCTGCTACTTCTATCTCCCACACACACACACACACACACACACACACAGAGTTTAATCACCAGGTAGCAGGCTGGCCTCTGCTTCCTCTCTCCGTCTCTCACACACTGCTGCATGAGGCCCGGTCAGCCGACGCGCCGACGCTCACTAACACAATGTGCAGCCGACCTCATATCAATTCCGTATCTCTCTATGGACACTGTGAAAACAACGCTGGACTCCGTGTCCGCTTAACAATATGGCCACCGGCACACAGAGAAGCGAGTGTTTGCCAGGAGTTACAGAAGATGAGATCATTGATGCCACTGTCTCATCTGTGAATGTGAGGCTGAAGCCAGTTATCTTAGCTTAGCATAAAGACCAGAAACAGGGGGAAACAGCCAGCCTGACCCTGTCTAAAGCTTAAAAACACACCTACCGGCACTTCCCCTAAAGCTCACTAGAAAAGTCACTGCTCCAGTCAGGAAATAGACTGACACAGACCTATCAATCTTCTCATCTAATTCTCTGAAAGTACATATATTTTCCAAAATGTCAAACTTTCCTTTAAATTACCAACTTGTATGAATAGAGGTGACTCCCTCTCTCATTTCATTACACTTTCTTTTCGTGTCTTCTACCTCCTTTATTTCACCGTCTCCTCTGTTTTTTTTTTTACCTCAGACATCCATCCAATTTAATTACATTAGCACTTGTGGGAGTCTCATTTTCTTGGTTACCTGGCAGCCAGCAGAGAAATGCTTGTGCGTGTGCGTGTGCATGTGCGTGTGTGCATGTGCGTGTGTGTGTGTGTGTGCAGCAGTGACCCGGAGGACATGGCCAGCCCAGACGCCATTGAGTTCAGTGTTTTCCTGAAGCACCACGGAGCTGTGTGCTGCATTATTCAGCCGACTCCATCCACCTCTCCTGCCCACCTATAGGCGCAACAGCCGGAACACGGCGTTTGCACTCGTCTGCCTGGGGTCGATATCTGTTCAGCAGCTTTGGCAGGCCTGCGCTAGCAGCTCTGCTCCATCAGCTCCAGCTTCTTCAGGGGTTTGAGATGCTGCTGCTGGTTTATTCATCAAAACCCACAAGCTGACAACCTGACAGGTCCCTGCAGCAACACAGGGCTCTCTCGCTCATCTGTAGGCTTTTTCTGCATCTCCTTTTTCTCTCTCTCTTACTTCTCCATTTTTTCCCCCCTTTCTGTCTGGTGCAAGCCGTAGACTTTTATATAAAGAAGTACAAGCTTACATTGGTTGCTCAGCCTCTCAGGTTCTCCCTAGCGTAGTAATCATGTTTATTTGTCCTCGCCATTGTAAGCAAACCTCCAACATCACCCTCACCCCTTTCTATCTTCTCCTCATCGTGACTTTTCCTAGCGTCTGAGTGGAAAATACCCTTGCAGGGTTCGGAGCATGACAGCCAGTGACACCAGGAGTGTATTGAGGTAGTCGGTGTGGAGGCTCCCTGTTGTGTGTCTCATTATTCAGGCTTCCGGCATCCTCTCTGGAGAACATGACGAAAACTCTGCGCTTTCACTCCCTTTCTTTAAGCATACAGATGCTTCAGATTCACCAATGTTTCCATGCGTGTCTGCATCTACAGTTAATGCATGTTGTCGTTTACATTTGGCAGTCCAATCTAGCTGTATTTAGATTTTTTGATTACTGTTATGGTTTTGTTGAATTTGTTTGCAATTACCCTCCTCAGAGAAATGAATCTCACCTGCGTGTGTTATTCGTTTTTAAGATCCGGGGAAATTTCCACTGATTAGAAGTATTTACACCCATACTGAAGTGTTTACAGCTGAGTTAATCAAGCTGCAGTGTCGAAGCTGTGCAGGTTTTAGCTCTTTAACTAACAATCATGTACAGTATACTTTATATTTTTACGAGCCATTTTCAAATGGTTTCAAAAAGGACAGAAAACCAAAACAATAAGCTGAAAGACACAGAGTCCGTCAGTAACAGCAACCCCTATCCCATTACACATACTTATTTGATCCCTTGTTAATATAAAAACATTGATTAATGCATCTTTCAATTCACAGTATTTTTTGTAAATGGGGTAAAACAGCAGACTCTCTATATTTAGAACATATACCATCATCATTTTTTTGTTCAAGTACAAGTCTAGAGATACAAGGTTACAACCAAAGGCTTCATGAAGTCCAATCCAACTGTATACAAAACAGATCACAGACTGGACAGCTTTTACATTATAACTGTTGAAAACAAAAGGTGACCCAGGTTAAAGCGAGTTTCTCTTTGGTAGATCTGTAAACAAAAGCGTTCACAGAGGAATTCCCACAGACGCAACGGTGTTTATATTGTAAACTCTGACAAGTGACAAAATCTGGACAAGGTTCAAGTTTCAACGCAAAGAGGTTGTTGTTTTTTTTCCCCTCCCAGTTTTTTCCTACCGCAGATGAATGTGTTTATAATGAAAACAGATTTCAGCTGCCTGAAACACCTTATTCTCAAACGTGTAACCTGCACACAGACTCAAATGAAGGCTAGTTAGCAACAATGGGGGGGCTATTCATTTTGGCAGCTGAGCCGTGTGAGAAAACCGTACGGGTTAATCTTCTACATGCAGGTGTACCTGCAAACAATATCAGGCTGCCGTGTCCTGGGAGTCTGGCCACACATATGCTCAGAGTATGTGTAAATGCATGTTTAACAGTGAGTGTGAAGTGAGAACATGACTGTGTGTCTATGCCTCAGCACCCACATACAAACGCAGTGTGTGCCCCTCCCCAGCTGTTCCTCTGGGGGTCTGGATCAGACAGCTGTCCCTCTGGTCTGAACAGAGCTCACACTGTTCTGAAAAAGACATGCTCAGCACATTGTTCGGAGGTCTCTCTCTGCCTCTCTCTCTTTTCCTTTCTCTCCCTCTCTCAGCGGGGTTCTGTCAGGCAAGCCAAACAAAAGACACTGGAAACACCCAACACTGGCACAGCCAGCCACAATGAGCATGGTAATAACACACGCACACAGGCAAACCAACCACCCTTCCTACCCCTGCCTCAAAGACCGTGGAACAAAGGCATTAGGGATGCAATTAATGATTATTCTCATTGTCAATCTATTGTGCATTAATGGTGGATTAAATGAATAATCCTGTCTAAAAATGTAAATGGAATAAAACCCAAACATACATCAGAGACACCACAGCTCAATGGGATCTCTTGAAACAGCTTGCTTAGTCTGTCCAGCAGCCCAAAACACAAAATATATGTAACAATCATATATAATAACTTATTAACTTTTATCAGTTAAACACTAAATGAACTAGCTGCTCTTTATAAAATTGAGCTTGAGAACATCTTTGAAGGTTTTGTGACCAAAGTGAAATGAAGTGAAAATCCAGACATGAAGGACACACGAGAGGACTCACCCAGACCGGACGTGTAGATGGCCTTCACAGACTTCTTCATCTTGTACAGAACGCTGCGGTCCACATCCAGAGCCTGGACAGACAAAAACAGGGAGACAGTGAGATGAAGAGGTGGATAAAAAGGGGAAATCATTCAAGTACCAGTCAGCCAAATGACTGTTGGTATAACCTGAATATATTTTACTGCTGCCTGCACAGATCAGGGTAGAACAGTAGAAGCTGCATCATGATGTACAATTTAACTCGTGGGCTTGCTCCTGAATATTTGCGTTCAGGGACAGTGATGGTCCATATTCAGCAATCAACACCAGGGCCAGTGTGCATTCAAATACAACAGCCTTGCACTCACATCTTATAGTGTCTTTGTGAATTGTCCAAACACTGTTGATTCAATCCTTTTGTAATATTTGAGGTTGCAGTTTGTGTTGTTGCTAAATGATATTATATTCTTTGGTGTTCCTGTTATTTTGTCCACACCCTGAATAAACGCCTGCATGTGGAGGGTACAGTCTGCGTGTGTGTCTCTATGCCATCTCCACTCTAGCTGCAAGTAATGCATTATTCAAGGCAAAGCTAAGAATAGACCAGAGCTCCCTCCTCAGTTATTGTGTTAGTGTGTGTGTGTGTGTGTGAGACATATACACATGTGTGTGTGTATTTATCAGTATAATAGCTTGTAGGACAAGAGCAGTGAGGATCTGAAGGACATTCTCACTGAGTTGCAGTGCAAACCTATGCTTAAACCTATGAATAACCACACACACACACACAGAGCTCAGACTAACACAGTAGTACCAGAACAAACACTGAAAGTCCAGCAGAGACAATGCACCAGTGTATCAGTGATGAGTTAGGGACTCTCTTGGGATGAGGGGGATTTTGGGAAATTAGTTTTTAGGGATTTTATTGAGTACATCCGGCCCACCGGGCCAAAGTCGGCGCCACTTTTCCCTGCACTGCTCCCAATCTGACTGACACATATCAGATCCCCTAGACCCTCTGAAAACAAAAACACACAATGGCTCCTATTCAGCTACAATATACACACACCAATACTGTACACACACACATTCTGTCTCTCTCTCTCTCTACACCACTAGATGTGATGACAAAACTTATTAAATCCATAAATCGGTGCTGTATTAATATCCAAGCTTTGAGCTTTTGCTATTACAAAGTCGAAGCAGCTCAGCACTTTTTTTCCCCCCAGGGTCTGTATTTTACAGACACACAAACACACACACACAATCACGCAAAGGAAACTGAGAGAATACAGAAATGACTTTGAAGGGAAAATGACATAAATTAAGAGTCACTGGCAGAGGGACGGACAGAATGAATGAGGAACACAGAGCTCAGAGAAAGGACAGGAACAATAACAATGTGCTCTTTCACTCTTCTATCAGTTGTGGCTCGTAGGGGCCACCTATGAATCGTGAAGTGAGGGACCTTGTCAGCCTGTAGGAGCATACAGTTACACTGACAGGACAGACTCAGTGAAGAGGAAAGCTCACAGCAAAAAAATGCCAAAAAAATGCCAAAAAAAAAAACTAAGACCACATTCATCTGTTTGTATTTTTAGTTGCATTTCTCTCATAGAGAGCGGTGAGATTTGAGTCCGTTTTAATGGATCATCCATGTGTGTTACTCCATGAGCTGCCTTCAAAGAAATCAAAAACAAACTGAAATAGACAGCAACTATTTCTCCCCGCACCAAAGCTTTTCCCTGTCAGTTCAGTGATGAATATGTTTGGCCACTGCCTCGTTTAGCCAACAGTAAGTCTCTGTAACACACTACTACTTCTGACACGGATCTTTACAATCACATCAAAATATACTGTTCAACTGCAAAATAAAATAAAAGTAAAATGCTGCCACCCTTACAGAGCTGTTATCACCCAGGCCTGACCTCAAGCTGACCTCTGAGATACAGCCAGTGCCATGTAGGCAGCACAGCACCATCATCACCACTGTCAACCTTTTTATCTTGTGTATGAGGCCCATATAGCTCACGTAATTTAATAATGTCTGACAACAAAAAGACATACAAAGTGATTTGAATTCAAATGACTACTAATTGGTGCAGGGTAGCTTTAAAGGAAATTACTCTTCTCAACATGTTTACACAAATATGAATAAACACAATAAACACAAATAAACCTCCAGCAGTACATGCTAAAAACTTAAGCCAAACTAAAAATAAAATCTGATGTTATTTACCAGAGGAACTGTTCAAATTAAAAGAAGCCAACCAGAAGCTATTTTTTCCTCTGAGTAAAAGTAGGACTTTCAGTGCTGTGGTTTTAGTTCCTTCAGCTCCTGTTAAATGACTCATCAGCTACATATGCACTATCCAATTAGCTCTGTCTGGCTCAGACAGACTGTAGCTCAGACTCCACACAGCCTCGTGTGTGGGTGGGTGTATGTATGTATGTGTGTATGTGTGTATGTGTGTATGTGTGTATGTGTGTATGTATGTATGTATGTATGTATGTATGTATACGGTTTAACAGGTAATTTTCAAACACAGACAGACACAAAGACAAAAGCACAGCTGTTCTACAAAGCAACACTCATAGACTTCTGTCTACACCGCCAAACCACACAAAAACCTTTAAAAGGTAACTGGAGACGACTACTGAGAGTGTTTTCTTAGCAAAGCTGATATCACCTTTGCCCTGGACATTAAATCCAATCTCTGCTGAGAGCGAAAGGCTCAAGAGCACTGAAAGCATTTCTGCTGGTATCTGAGCTTCTGAGAGGGTGTAGAAGTTTTCTGTTCCCGTTCAACAAGAGATTTGAAGTATATGTTTGTAGATAATGGGAAAGGGCAACTAACGATTATTGTCATTATTGATTAATCTGCCGATTACTTCTCAATTAACCAACTAATCTCTTGCATTATAAAATGTCAGGAAATGGTGAAGCCCATCCTAATTTCCAAAGCCCAAGGTGGTGTCCTCAAATGTCCTTGTTTGTGGTATGTGGTGTCCTTGTTTTGTCGACCCAACTGTCCAGAACCCAAAGATATTTTCCTTAAAGATGACATAAAACACAGAAAGGTAGAAAATCTTAAATATTGAAACGATAGAGCCAATTAATTTTTTTGGTATTTTTGTCAGAAAAAAAATGACCTAAAATATTAATCAATTATCAAAATAGTAAATTTTTTGTCAACCAATTAATGATTTCAGCTTTAGCAGACACCCATACATCACATGAAAATGACAAAAAACAAATCATTCTATACAAAAAATACAAAAGCCCAGACATGTGAAATTTTACACTTTGCCCAAATGTATATGAATATGTAATTCTCAGGATTTCTATGAAAATTACTGACTGGACTAATCTCTCATAAAACTGCATCACTCCTCTGTCTGAGGACTACGGACTAAGGACTTTCAACACGAGCCTATAAAAATGCACTTGAAACTGCTGCCATGTATTTATGGATTATTTGATGGTGTGTGAGGTCAAACAAGGGTGAGCCGCTGACGTGGAAAAAAAAAAAGAAGAAGCATGTAACAGTATTAAATGGCTGATTGGGGCACAGAATCAATTAGACACCAGACTGCAAAATCCTGCAGAGATATGTTTGACACAATAAATCGACTGTGATGTCACGTGCCTTTCTGTTGATGCCTGCCTGTGCTTAAATGTCGTTTGAACACAAGTCACATACTCTTGTAGTTAAGCGAAGTACCGCTGCTGAGTTTAATACCTTTATCACTCTGTGCATAAAATGACAATAAATATGACAAAAGAGGCAAAGCAGCGCTCTGAACAGCTCCGCTGGGCTCCCTGACAGTAGCATGAATGTTTCTGTGAAGGAAGACAAATGGACAAGAGTCAAGCTTTCGATGCATATGCTACATCAACGCCGTCAGATGGCAGCTACTGTATGTATTCTGCTCTAGTATCAAGTAACAGCTTTGATATTAAAAGCTCTATGTTCGGGCCCCTGCTGAATGCATACACTATAAAACTTCTTCAACTATTCATATTCAGATGAGTTTGGTTTTAAGTCAACCTTGTGATATCATAATCACAGACAAATTTTCCCAAACAGGTTTAGAAAGTCTGGATGAATAACTTAATTCTGAGAAGCTCCCGGGTGTGAGTGAGTTGTACTATGTTAAAATGAAGCAGAGAATGTCACAATAGTGAAAAAAAAAAATTACATATTATGCTCTATTTTTGTTTACCTGGTGATGGCTTTCACTGCCCAATCATTACAGGGTTGTTGAGGCTGATACCAATACAGATTTTTGAAAGTTGCATAATAAATGCAATAACAATGTTTCAGCTATCATCAATTTTCTTTACAAAACCCATGACATAAACATTTTTGATAAAAGGTGCCATTTTTTAATAATTGTGACCAATGCAAAATGTAGTGGACATGGACATTTTACAGTTGGAAAAGAAAAACTTGTCACTCTGGTGGACAAACTACAGAATAATCTCACTGATAAATAATAGCAAATTTAAATACAGAAATGTCAAACACAAATATATCAAGGTCATATGGCCAATTTATCAGTCTTTTTCAAAAGGTGCAGTTTGACTGGCGTCAATAGGTGCAGCTACGGCGTCATTTCCTGTGAGTATAAAATGGTAAAGCTATCAACACTTTACCATAGCGACTACAACATTGTGCTTGGACACTGGTAAATCTAACATGCACACTGACGTGGACTTCACAGCTCCCATCCCAAGTACTGCCTCAGTCACACACACACACACACACACACACACACACACACACACACACACACACACACACACACACACACACACACACACACACACACACACACACACAAACACACACACACAAAATCAAGCAGTATCACGCTCCAGCAGACCCTTTCAATCTGCAGAGAGTGGTCTGCTGGGGAAAGGGGGAAGACAAGAGGGTAAGTGGGTGGGGTGGGGGGGCACAGGCCGGGTAATAAACCAGCTGAACACAACAAACACATAGCCTTAAATCACTCTCTCTCACACACACACACACACACACCACACACACAGGACTCTTCAATCACTTTCACACATTTGCACTCTGAT